ACCGAATCCTTGCCCTGCTTTTTAAAACTTTTTAATTAATTTGTTTGTTTATTTAGCACAAAACCTGCATTTCTTTTTTTAAATAACCCATTACACTTATACTAATACATTATTTATATATACAAATGATGTCAGAATTATTACAAAATTTTAAGGTCAAAATTATTAGCCCCTGTAAGCAATATATTTTTATAGTCTACAGAACAAACCATTGTTATAACTTGCCTAATTACCCTATCCTAGTTAACCTAATTAACCTTATTCAGCCTTTAAATGTCACTTTAAGATGTATAGAATTGTCTTGAAAGATATCCAGTAAAATATTATTTACTGTCATCATGACAAAGATAAAATAAATCACTTATTAGACATCAGTTATTAAAACTATTATGATTAGAAATGTGTTGAAGAAAATCCTCTCTCCGTTAAACAGAATTTAGAGAAAAAAGTAAACTGCGGAGCTAATAATTCTAACTTCAACTGTATATCCCATTATAAAAACGGGAACTTTTTTATAATGCAACTTTGTTGCAACTTTAAATACTTATTCTGCAAAAATAAAGGAATTAAACAAAATTCGTCAAACTTTTTCTAATCGAAGGGAGACTTTGAAAGTGAAGCATGAAGGACAGACAGTTTAGTTTCTTGGACTTGATTACAGAAGCAGACAGAAGTTGTGTGCTTCACAAAGACTCCATTCATTGCTATCCAACTTTTCAAGGCACAATAGAGCGAACCGGAAAACATGCAGCTATTTCAGCATCACAGTGTGTTGTTTGTGATATTAACTGCTTAACTGTCACAGTCTCATGGGCGGATCATTTTTTTTTAATATTTATTTATTTTTTTGTATTCTCTAAACCTGAAGTTATCTTGACAAACTATAAATAATATTCATATATCACCATAATGTTCAAGTGTGAACTCAAAATGTGTGGTGTGACAGTAAAGGGGCTAAAAAACAACTTTAATTATTCAAATATCAAGGGAAAAAATTAATTTGTAAACATTTGCCATCATTATATTAACGTGGCATTTGAATGTACTGAACAATCTGAAACTACAGACATTTTGAATGTGAAACTAAAATGCTTTAGATGCAAAAATATCTGCAGACAAGTTAAAAATAAGCTCTTGAGAATAATATAAGACCAAATAACATTAATGTAACACAGGAAGATTTTATTTTATTCATATGTTGTGTAAACCTTGCCAGAAAAATTCAAGTTTTTCAGACATTCCCTTCTAGTTTTTAGGGAAAAGGTTAAATCCCACCCAAAATGATTTGTAACCCCAAAGAAGATTTCTTCACACGAATTACATCGTTTTAATTTCTGCAAAATAACTTGTAAGCATTAAAGCACATTTTAACACAGTGTGTATTTATAACACTAAATGTGAATTAAGTATGAAGAAATAGGGCAGAAATAAATGTCATGATCTCCAGTTTAGGCTAGCAGAATCCTGTGGACGTAATGAGGACATATGTCTCACGGGAAGGGGCAGATGTTTGCTCAGATGTCACCATGTAAGAGCAAACTGCAAAAAAAATGTGTCTGAGTCAGTGGTGAGGCTGTTGAAATGTTTAGAAAGAAGTCTAAAAAAAAAAATGTTTTTTTTTTTTTAGTATAAAAAAAAAAGTTATCTAATTTTAAAATCCCCCTAGGGTTGAAGACTTGAGTTTTACTATTATTGAATCCATTCAGCCAATCTCAGGATCTGGCGGGAGCACTTTTAGCTTAGCTTAGCATAGATCATTGAATCGGATTAGACCATTAGCATCTCGCTCATTCTGAATCGTCGGTAGTTGCATCGCTACGTCAAATTCCTTAATCATTACGCCAGAATGACATTATCCGATTGTTAAGTGGTGACGTGTTGGTGACGTACTGTTTCCGGGTCCAAGCCGCCACTCATTTGAGTTGAGAAATCATTCGTTTATGAACACTTTTTATTCATATCACACATTAAAGTTAATTTTTTATAAAATAATAGTGTGCACAACAATCTCTGGGCTTGCTGCATAACAAATACCAAAATTTTAACAATTTATAAAAAAATGAATCACTTTCTGGCCATCGGATAGGCATGGATATATATATTGCGATCGTGATTTTCGAAAGTATTAAATCGCTTTGTAAACGTTTATTATTACCATTTCATGAATCTCCCCCATTCAGTTGAATAGAGCGCTTGGACCTAGAAGTCACTTCGCGTGACGTCACACTTAACAAGCAGATAGTTCCTAGGGATATCAGCCAAGAAAATAGCAACTTTTCAATTTCCATTGATTCAATGATTTATGCTAAGCTAAGCTAAAAGTGCTCCCGCCAAACCCGGAGATCTGCTGAATGGATAAAAAAATGGTAAAACTCAAGTTTTTAACTCTAGTAGAGTGCAAAATGAGCCCATTTCCAAAATAAGCAGAGCATACCTTTCAAAGTTATCTCAAGTTATTTGTTGAAATCTTTACAGATGCTAATGGTCTAATCTGATTCAATAATCGATGCTAAGCTAAGCTAAAAGTGTTCTCGCTAATTTCAAAACCAAGTCCATTCAGCTGATCTTAGTATCTGTCGAGAACACGTTTAGCTTAGCTTAGCATAGGTCATTGAATCGGATTAGGCCATTAGCATCTCTTTCAAAAAAATAAGCTTATTTAGTTTTCTCTTCTCTAGCAACATTGTGTACTAAGACTGAAATGAAAAAATGAAAAGTTGATCATTTCTAGGCCAGTACGACTAGAATATTATCGTTCCTTGATTATTAAGCAAGTATTTCCTATCCATATCTTAGTGAGATGCTAATGGTCTAATCTGATTCCATGATTTATGCTAAGCTAAAAGTGCTCCGCCTAGAGCCTGAATGGATTAAACAATGGTAAAACTCAACTAATGGATGGTAAACTAAACTGTTTAGCTCTAGGGGAGTTGTAAAATATTTTCCCAAGCAAGTGGAGTGTTCCTTGAGGAGTAAAGCAGGTTGTTTGCCACCTTACACATTCTGTGTTCATGACCTTATGTTTTATCAGGCTTGATAAAATTCTTGCTGTCTTTATTATGACTAATGTCTCCCTAGGAAAGATTTTTAAAGCACGGAAACACTGTGTACTTTGGAGAAAACACTCTTTTTTATTTAGTAAGAGCTGCATGCAAGCAGATAAGAGTTGCATTCCTATTTACTGACACTCTAAAAATAAACCCCAAATACTTGCGAACCAACCGAGACCAGTGCAGCTTCTGCAGACATTAAAGTCTAGTCACACTACACTGTTCAGAATTTTCTGCGAAATCTACAGGACTTACTGTAAATCAGATACAGCAAAAATACTGCGTTTACATTTCCATCACTGTTTATCTTGCTGTGCATGTATTTTTAGTATTCTACACTGTATCTTTACTGTAAAATATACAGTCATTTTCACAATGCAACTTTTTAAATACAGTAGCATACTGCATAACTGTCCTACAATAAAATACAGCTCATATTACAGTTAAATACTGTCTAATTTACAAACAATTTTAGGGCTGCATGGTATACTGTTTCAGCATTATCGCTATCAATAGTCACATTGCAAGATATGCAGCGTTGTGTTTGGACTGTAGTTTATTATTTGCATGTGTTTTTGAGGCCTGTGATTATATAAGGAGTTTAAAAGCATTTGAGCATAAGAAATTGTATCGTTTGTAACTTTTAAGATGTTTACTTGCAGGATCTCTCAAATCTTTTTACAAGACCTGGAACCCTGTTTTAGACTATATCAAAGGCGCACCTTGTTTAGTTGATATCAGATCTAATAAACAGTAAATAATTGAAAAGAGGAAATATTGACTCCTTAATGTGAACTTTTAATCACAATTTTTTCAATTGTTATTATTATAATTTTATATATTTATTTATTTTATTTATTTATTTTATTTTTTGCTTTTATCGTAAACTTGCTCATTTATTATTATATTGTTTAACAATTTCTTTTAATTCTTGTATTTTTTTTATTTATTATTATTTCTTTTAGAGGATATGTTTGTTTATAATTCATACATTTGAATTTATTTTATTTTAAGGGGATAGTGGGAAAATAAGAAAAATAAGACACTGTAATTTTTCCTTTGTTGTATTGTATACGTATTGTCTTGTTAATCTCAATAAAAAAAATAATAATAAAAAATTGAATTGAATTATATATATATATATATATATATATATATATATATATATATATATATATTTTTTTTTTTTTTTTTTTTTTTTTTTTTTTTTACGTAAGTGTACCTGAATACTGTTAGTATTTGCATTTTGACTATTGTTGTTTTTTTTTTACATCTAAACGTTTGGCTTTTTAGGAGATGCTGATGGTCTAATCCGATTCGATTCAAACGTTTGGCAAAACTGAACAATACAATTATGTATTACCAATACAATTGTGTAACTTACCTTTTTGATTTGGCATTTTATCAGTATCAGTATTTTGTCAGAGTATTGTTTGTTTTTAGCTATAATAACTATTAGTGAGAATTGTTTGCTTTAGCCATAATTTTATACTTGTTCTTTGTGATTTGTATTGTTTAGCACATTGGTCAACCTTTGGTTGTGTATAAAAGTGCTTTATAAATAAAATTGACATCGACAAGTATTAAAAAATGTACAAATGATCAACTTTTCACGGTGTAATTTTTTATTTTTGACTTTGTTTTTATTTTGCCAATTTGTGAGTTTTGTTTTTATTTATTTTGTTTTATTTAAACCTTCATTTTACCAAGAAAACATCTTGAGATTTGTAATCTCTTGTTTTAAGTGACCTGAGTAAACCAACAATAAACATCATAGACAACATAGTAAAATAAATCAACACTAAACACATTTTGTTTTCTATAATATTTAGAAACATACTGTAAAATTCTTTAAAGATATAAATAAATAAAATTCTGATGTGTGTTGTCACATCTTAATGAATCACCTTTACCAGACTACAGATATAGTATTTCTGTCTTGTTTTACAGTTGCTTGGCGTGGCTTTCCTCGGAATCGGATTGTGGGCATGGAGTGAGAAGGTAAGAGAAATCCAGTGAATCTACTGCATAATCCATAGAAGTCATCTTTATTTGATAGGAATATTAATGCACATGTGAGGCTGAGATGTTGCGTGTTCTTGACATTAAATACTGTATGAGATGCAGCGGTGGTTTGTTGAGTATGGTTATTTTTAGAATGAATCACTGACATAATTTATATATATATATATATATATATAA